CTCCCGGGGGGGACGAGCCCCCCCACCATCCAGGAACCGCAGCACCTCGGCCTTGGCGGGGATCTGCACGTCCACGGAGGCGATGCAGTTGTCCGAGGGCTTGGCACGCGAGGCGTCCACCAGCTGCACCCCAAGGTTTCCCCGCAGGTACCCCACCACTTGCACCATCTCCTCGGGGCTCAGGTCAGCAAACACCAGGCTCTGGCCGTCATCAGTGTCCTCCTGCCCCGGGGGCTGGTGCTGGCAGGCGCTGGGGGCTCTCCCTCTGGTCAGCAGCACGCAAACCAGGGCAAATATCGTGGCTAAGGCCAGGAGGAGGAGGATGAGCAGGGTTTTCACGTGCATGGTGCTGCTGGTCCTGGGGCATTCAGAGCAGCTTTCAGAGCAGGGTTTCCAGCTGCTGCTGCTGTCAGTTCATGCTGCGCTGGATGGATTAGCTTGGAAAGTACAAAAGACTGGGAGAGGCAAGGGGAGGAGATCTGAAATTGGTGGTGACCAGAAAGGGCAGATCTCTCTCAGCTGCAGCCCTCTCCGTCTCCTCCTCGAGCAGTGCCCTGGAGGAACTGGTGGAGATGCAGGGTCAGTGACTCAGACAAGTTTCACATAATTCTGTTACTTTTTCAGTCCAACCTGGTTTCCTGAGGCTGCCTGTAAAAACGAGGATCCTGTAGTCAGCCTGAGGTGGCTGCGACCAGCACGAAGCTCTGACAAACTGGGAATTGTTGCCACACTGTAGAATTTCACCTCTTTGCAACTCACCAAATATCCTTGTTTATCAGGCTGTTTCCTTGTAAACATTCTCCCTGGCAGCACGATTCCAAGCTCGGAGTTACTTTTTATTTTATTTTTTTTTTTTAAATCTTCTACACGGGAGCCTTTCTGAAAACACATCCATCTGTGTAGCAGCAGAGAAGCTTTGGCAGACGTGGAAAGATGTAGTTCAGGGTGAGATTCAGGTCCCGGTGCTTGGTTTGCCCCTCTGAGCAGCTTTCAGCTAATTAGCTGATTAGCGTTCCCCCCAGACAGGATCACACAGCTTTTGTCTCTGTCTCCGACTCACAGATAAACTGAGGTGCAGCTTCTGAGAAGCTCCCCCCAAGGACAAAGCCACCCCCACCTGCAGCGGCCGTGGCGGTGCCCGTTGTCCCCGCGCTGCCGGGCTGAGCGGCCACTACCAGGATTCCTACCAGAGGGTGTGATAACTGTCCCCTGCCACCCACTGAAGGTGTCCCTGCTGGTCCCACAGCGTTGTTGAGAGGCATTGGGACACGGTGTGAGCTGCAGTCCCTGCTGGCCCCTCCGCTGGTGCTGAAAGGCATAAAGCATCCAAGAGAACCAGGGCTGGAGAGTCAACCCAACATTTCCACTCCTGCTGCCAGCATCACCTCACCTCACCCTGTCCTTCCCTTCCTCCTCCCGTCAGAGTTTCCTGGTGGGAGACACCCCCCCAGCCTCAGCACCGCCTCGGCTCTTCCCCCACAGCGGATCTTGCCCTGGGCTCGGCCCCGCTCTGCGGTCTCCGGCCACACCAGACACCACGCCACAGGCCGGAGGCCAAGTTGCCACAGGACACGCTCCATCATCCTCACCACCACTGGCAGCCTCCACCGTTTTTAGCCCAGGCTGTGGCTGTGCAGGCCAGGGACACCCATGTCCCCCCCCGTGCAAAGCCTGCGGGGCCACAGCAGCCAGTTCTGGTGGCCATTGTGGCTCAGTGACGGCACAGACACAAGCCAGGGGAGGGAGGATGGATGAGGAGAGAGCCTGGGCTACATGGGACAAGAACTATGAGTCTCAGAGGTGCCCAGATCTCACCAACATCCCCCCAGGGGCCTCTGAGTAGCCCCAAATTAAGCAAAGGAGCCCCAGCTTCTAAGTCAGTATTTCAGTCCGTGAAGTCAACGAGGCTTCGAGGATTATTTGGAGTTAGCCTTGAAAGAAAAATTCGCTTTTGGGGTAAGCCTAGAACATGGCACCCATCTCCCTCAGGCAGAAAGTGCTGCTGCCCCAGATGAGGGTCAGAGGAGACCTGGGACCTGCCCCCCAAGGAATCCAACAAACCTGCTGCTGCACCAGGTGCCTGACACCTGAGCTGGGATGGCTGCGCACAAGGCTCATGGTGACCCTTCCTTAGAGAACAAAAAGAGCAGATCACTCAGTTTTGACTTTGCCTCTTGGTTTTGCATCCCAAGTCCCTAAAGGTCAAGGCTGCAATTACAGATGGCCAGTTTCTAAGCAGCACAGCAGTCGTTTGGGAGAACTGGACAAACTCCACAGGCCTTACTGCCCCACAAATCACAACTCACCCTGCAGCTTCCCTGGGAGACGGCTGAAAATAAAGTGTGGGCACACTCTCATCCTGCACATGTGGGGCGTTTGGGAGCAAAGAAGCCCCAACACGTAATGACAGTCTCAGGAGAAACCACCCCAGAGTGCACACCCCAGCTCTGTGGGCACAGAGGACACGAACAGAACTTCCCACACGGCCTCTGCCCCACGGCTGGGTCTGTCCACGGACGCCACATCCAGTACCACATTATTTAATACCGTCCATTTCTGCTGTACTTTTCAAGCTGGGGACTTTTAAAGCCCGTTACAAGCAACACAGGGATCAGTCTGTGCTTTCGGGGAGCTACGTTTCAGAATAAACAGAACAGCCCTAAATCCACCTCCATCTTGCAGCAGGAGTGTCAGGAAGCAGAGGAATTAACTGAGCCCGCAGAGCCAGGAGGCCTGTGTCAATACCTTACTGATGGAAAGCCATCAGGTATCGTTCAGGGCCACACGTACCACTGGGTTGCTCCTGTACCTTCTCCAAAAGAAGCCCGGAGCAGCTTAAAGCTAACCTAGAATTTAAAAAAATTACACGTCTCGCTAACAGCCGTGGAAGTTGTTTATGGCCTGTTTGGTGCACAAACCCCTTCCCCCAACTCGGCTCCCCGGCCCCATTAGCCCATCGCTCCGTCCCACACCTCACATGGAAAATTCACATCTACCCGTGTTTATTTTGGCTACACGTTTGCTTTTAGGTACTGCCCATCAGGACATCTTATATTTGCTAAATTGCCCACGTCTCCCAAACAAAGCAAGGAAGAGGGGAGCTCGCTGGCTTTCGCTCGCGCAGAAAGGTAGAGGCGGCAAAAAATAGTCTCCGAAATTTATAGAAACCACAACCAGAGACAGACAGCTTTTGGCTCATGGAAACTCAGAGTCAGGGACTGCCAGACAGCTGGGTAAAGAGCACGGTACAGACACCCCCTGCCAGCTCTCCTGACTCTGGAAAGTCTTAAACATTCCCCAGGGCGGACCTCAGGCTTTGGAAACCCCTGACTCCTGCTCCCCCAACTCACAGGGTCAGTTTGTGACAAACAGAAAGTGGGAAACCCATGCTGGCTGCATTTCTGGCAGCGTTTGCACCCAACTGTCTTCATCCTCCTCTCAGAGCTCATACTCTTGTCACTGCATACAAGCTGGGATGTCCCCACATCCTGTGCCAGCGCGATGCCACTTCTGGAGAGCAGGGCAGAAACCAAGACCAAGGGGTGACAACAAACCCTTCCCTACTCCCATGGGACAGCCGTGCTGCTGCCACCACCACCGGTGCTCCGTCCTCCCAGGGAGGCTGGCACGGGCCTCCCAGGGGATGGGCTCCTTATAGAATCATAGAATGGTCCAGGCCAGGAGGGACCTCCAAAGGCCATCTAGTCCGACCCCCCCGCAGTCAGCAGGGACACCCCCAACTAGACCAGGTTGCCCAGGGCCTCGTCGAGCCTCTCCTTGAATATCTCCAGGGAAGGGGCCTCAACCACCTCCCTGGGCAACCTGTCCCAGTGCTCCACCACCCTCACAGTGAAGAACCCTCTCCTCATCTCCAGTCTAAATCTGTTCCCCTCCAGCTTGAAGCCATTGCCCCTCGTCCTGTCACTGCAGGCCTTTCTAAACAGGTTCTCCCCAGCCTTCCTGTAGCCCCCTCAGGTACTGGAAGGCCGCTATTAGGTCTCCCAGGATGGGATTGGCCTTCTGGGCTGCAACTGCCCACTGCCTGCTCATGTCCAGCTTTTCATCCACCAGCACCCCCAAGTCCCTTTCCTCAGGGCTGCTTTCTAATACCTCTGTGCTGATGGTGAGGATTGTTCCAGCCCAGGTGCAGAACCTTGCACTTGTTCTTGTTGAACCTCACGAGGTTCACCTGGGCCTACCTCTCCAGCCTGTCCAGGTCCTTCTGGATGACATCCCATCCTTCAGGCGTATGGACACCAGCACACAGCTCGGTGTCATCTCCAAACTTGCTGACGGTGCCTTTAATCCCTCTGCTTTAACATTTTTATCAATGATAAACAGTATTAGTTCCAGCACGGACCCTTGAGGGACACCACTTGTCCCTGCTCTCCATCTGGACTTCCAGCCATCAAGTCCCTTCTGCCCATGGAGCCCCTTGTGCTGCCCCATTGCCCACCAGCTTGCGGGACATTCCCCGCACCGGGGCTGCGGGATGCGGGGAGCACGGGGCGGGGGGCGCTGCGGGAGGCAGAGTCTCTCCGCAAACGGCAGCCCCTGCTCCGGTGCGGCCGGAGGAACCGGGCCGAGCCCCGTTGGCAGCGGCGGCGGCTCCCGGGCCCCCCCTAGCGGCACCGGGGGTGACAGGGGGGGTGACACCGGAGGGGTCTGGGTCTCGGTCCCCGGGCTGGGGTGCAGCAGGGACCGGAGGAAGCGCAGGGAGGAGGAAGAGGAGGAGGATGCCCGGGGAGAGCAGAGGATGCTGCGGGCGGGGAGAGCGGGGGGACGGGGGTGCGGGAGCTGCCACGGAGACTCGGAGAGACCCCACCGCACATCCCGAGGGGCTGCCCCGACCCGGGGGCACGGGAAAGGCACCGAAACACCTCCAGCAGAAACGGGAACGTGCAGGGAAGGAGCAGAGGGAGGTGAGAAAGGCAGGACCGGAGCAGACGTTCACACTGCGCAGGCTCAGGGCTCAGCACGACACACGAGGGGCTACCTTAAAAGAAGTCCAAGTACCTTATTTTAATTCCTTGACACCGGTAAAAGTTTACATACTTTCATCTGGCCAAGAGAGAGCCGAACAAATGAAAAGGAATCCATACAAAGAAACACGAGGGGAAGTGCTGCTTCCAGACAGCAGCTGGAACGCGGTTGGTTTGTTACTGAATATTTATTAGCGGGAAGACTAAGAGTTGACTCACTACAAACAACAACAGAAGAGTCTAGAGAGCAAGGGCCGTGGCCCCTCCACACTGCGGGCAGATCCCTGGGAAACCAGCAAGAGACAACATGGCTCTTAGAGGTGGAAGCAGAAGAAGAAACAAAAACAAAGTAAAAAAAAGAAAAAAAAGAAAAAGAAAAAAAAAAAGGAGGGGAGAAGAGTTCATTCCATTTGTCACTGTTGTTACAATGAGGTTAACACAACTATTTAAGGCTACTGCACAATAAGAATATAGGGGTGTAACAGCAAGACCCGGGAAACAGCGAGGTTCCTGAAACAAATGATTTAACATTCCCTGAAGAGGGGACTTAAGTAGAAATACTATAAATAAGAAATTTTGGAGCCTGCAGCGCGTTACGGGCCCAACTCGCCACACACAAAAAACTGACGCAACACAACCTGTCATTCCCAAAGGGGTTTGTAATGACCATGAAACGTTCCGGCGGCTTAAGAGGAGTCACCGGGCACAGCAGAGTGTGCCCTTTGCAGGGGAAAGGCTACCAGCTCTGCCACGGTACTGGCCACCCTCACCCCGAGCACCGTGGCCGCTCTGCCCGGGTGCTGGGGCTTTAGGGGGGAACCTCCGGCCACCCCCTTCTCTCGGACGGGGCAGAAGTATCTCGTGCTGAAGGGGCACTAGGACAGATGTGAAGAAACGTTGGTTTTAGCCAAGAAAGCGGCTCTAATCAAATCGCCAACAGGAGCAAAAGCCACCTGAGCCCAGGAGCAGCCAGGAGAGCCACCAGCCCTCGTTCCCAGCAGCACCTCGCGCTCTGCACCCACACAGAGAGCACCAGGGCAGGCCCTGCTGAGGCAGAAGAGCCAGAAAAGGAGTGCAGACCGCTCAGCGGTACCAGGAGCTGCCACCAGCCCAGAAGGGGCAGGTCCCTTCGTCCTCACGGGGAGGAGCACCACGTTCTCCACCCCTTCCCCACCACCCGCATTCGCTCTCCTGCTGACGCCTGCCCCAGAGACCCCCGGGAAGCCTCCAGCCAAGGTGGGACAGGATGAGGGCTTGGTCTCTAGGGTCCTTCCCACTCAGGAAGGAAGAAAGGCGTCAGGAATGGTCCTGCCTGGCTGGTGCTCTCACTCTGCAGTAGCCTCTAGGGCACCCCACAGCAGCGCGACCTTCTCGTTACCGGTTACTAGAGGGAGGGAGAGCTCCTGAGACCTGAACAAAACCAATCACAAAACTAGGCGATAATTTCTTAAGAGTTTAACTAAGAATGCGATACTATTTCCAGCCAGTTTCCCATCTCGATAGTCACGTAACAAACCAAGGCAATGACGGTCTTTAGTTGACTGAACAGTTCTCAAGTTCAAACGTTGACACTTAATAGAGGGTCTCAGCGTTGCTGCTCCGAGGCCTCTTGATCTTCTCAATGTTTTTAAGGATCATGTCATGCAAAGTGACCTGCAAAAAGGGAGAATGGGACTCAGAGAAGAAGGACAAAGTCACCCGGGGTCCAGCTTTCCCCAGGAGCACTGGTGGCACAGCAGCACAGCTTGCCTCAGCACCACACGCTAGTGACACCAAGGGCTTCCTTCACCAAGACTTTACAGAAGCCACTGCATGTTAAGGCCAAAAAAAGAGATTTCTTTACAGATCTCAGGAATGACTTTGCACTGCATGAAGAGTTTAGGATCACAGGTTCCCCCAGAGGGGGAAGTAATATTTTGTGGAAGGAGTATTTTGTACCAGACTCCTGTGACTGCTCAGCTGGAGACACCTGCACCTCTGGGAGATGGTGAGGAGACACCAGCCGGCTCCTCTGGTTAGAGCCAAAGTGGAGCAGGGAGACCAGCTTCCTCCCAGGACTAGTAGTGCTCAGAGGGAACGGGGAGAGCAGCAGCAGCAGGGTCGAAAGGGCTCTCTCCACTGCTGTGCAGGGAGCCAGCACACGCTGCGTTTTTCACTTACATATTGATTCCTCAGCTCTGAAATGATCAGGCGCAGACTAATGTACTCCTTCTCATCGATCTCTGTCACCGTGCGGCGATAGTCCTCCTGCAGAGAGCAGATGCTGAGTGGCCTGAGCTCAGCTGTGCCCCCCCCAACACCAAAAGAAGGTCCTGCCCTTTACAAAGGAACCCTTCCCTTCAGCTCTCCCTCCTCTAACACAGACATTCTGCATCCTTGTACGATCCCCAACCTTTCCCCCCCAAGGACCCTCAAAAAGGACAGTGATCAAGCAGCCCAAAGAGTCCCCAAAAGCAGCAGTGTGTAATGTGGAAATCTCCACCCCCCCCATTTACTTACCACATGAGGGTACTTGGCTATTTTGGAAACCAACTTTGCTCTTGTGATATAATATCTGGTAGGAAAAGAGAGAGATTAAAGGTCAGATAAACTGCACCAAGATTTTTTTCCAGCTGCCCTAGAAAAGCCGAGGGACCTTCCCCAAGTGGATCCCAAAGAAGAGGTCTGTTCTTGCATGCCTACCTAGAAATCTGGTCCAGGTAGGACGCCGCCTCACTCTCCACAGTTCGAAGCTCAGCAACTGTTTCCTCCTGCAGGGAAGGAAGAGAAGGAAGCCATCAGCTCCACACGACTACAGCCATCCTCAGCAGCACCAAAACCTAAACCGACCCCACGACTGCAACTGCTGGACCCCATCAAATGAAAGACTCAGAGGAAGCTGAGATCCACGTCCCTGGAGCAGAGCTGTCTCCGCAGCAGGGCCCAGAGCCAGCGCTGCCTTACCTGAATAGAAACACCAAAGTTGTTTCCATCTTCTATCCTGGGAATGAGAAGCTGCACCCACATTTTCACCTGCAGTTGAAAGACCAGAGCACTGATCAGTGCCAACATCTCCCCAGAGACCACTCTCTAATGATTTACCAAAAGCCCCCCAGGATGCTGTCTTTGCCAGGCAGTTTATGATAAACTCCTGCAGGTCCTTCACACTCACACAACGCCCCCGAGGAGACCATTTCCCACATGGCTGGGCCACCACGATCCTAGCTCCCCAGGGAAAGCTCCCAGCAGGTCTCTGTGGCTGTGCAAAGGAGGGTGAAGAGGAGCCTCAAGGAAGGAAGGTGCATAACGGACAGCATCCTCCTTCAGGAGAGGAACTCCAGAGCTCCCCAAGGGCTCAGAAAAGCATCATTTCCCTGCACGTACCTCCCAGCTGCTTCTAGAAATTGTACTACGAATCCTGTCCTTCCTCATCTACTGAGCACAAAGGGACCTGCTCCTTCCACCCAGAGCAAAAGCATCCGACTCTCCGCTGGCTCCAGAGCTCATACCCACCGTGTTACACTTCTCAATGAGCAGCCTGATTTCGGGTTTCACTTTCTCAATGATGTCCACCAGCTGCTGGTTGCTCTTCAGCATCCCATTGGGCATCACGAACACTTTGGTACCTGGTGACAGAAGAGAACACCACCACATCAACAACTCAGAGGAACATCTACACCAGGGGATCAGCCTGAAGGTCCACCTGGGCATCTTATCTCCCGCAAAGGCCAGTGGTGGCCACCAAGCCAGGCTACAGCTAACCTGTGGGGAAGGGGAAATTTGAGGTGGGATAACAGGGATTCCCACAAAGGAGGGAAAAGAGAAAACACGGAGTGGAGACAAGAGCTGAAGAGCTCCAGGCTGCTGAGGCTGGGCACAAAGGATTTTCCCGATGCACGTGTATGAGATGTTTCTGCTGCAGCTTAATCCAAAGCCTGGCATCTTCCTCCAGTCAAGGAGAGAGCTTTCAGCACAGGGAGCTCAGCTGCCTCTGTCAGCAGGCCAAGCTCAAGCAAGTACTACTTATGTCTATCAGAGAAATCCTAATTATGCTTCTAAGAGCTGGAACCTGACTCCTCCTCCCCAACAGAACGTCTGTGGGTCAGGCTCTGAGAGGTTGAGGGGACAGGCCTTGCACGAACAGCAGCTGCTGTCGGGACAGGACAAGTGGGGCTGGTGTGATTTCACAGCCCTAAGGCACGGCACCGGTTCAGGGGGGCAGGCAGCAACACAGGAGACTGGGGGACTCTTACCCTGAAAGGTCTCTTCGCGGTCTTCCAGCTTCCTCTTTTTCATATTTGGCTAAAATATACAAAATGTTTTACTCAACAAACTAGTCGTAAGCTATAACAGCGTTGCAAAGGAAATAAGAAAAAAGTTTAGAGCCTCTGCTAGGCTCCTGGTTTCTAAACATCCTTCTTTACAAAGAGAGGAGGCCTGCAGAGCACAGTGCTACCTCCAGCAGACTTCCCAGGCTCGAGAGACCAATTCCTAAAGGCTTTGGGGGAGCCACAGCCTGTTATTAAATAAGAATATCCTACTCCAGCGCAGAGCAAGCCATGCAGTTTTAATGAACCCAAGCAGGGACCTCAGCCAAGAGAGTAACCTTACCCCGTCCAGTCCATCGTGGCTGTTTGTGAGCAGAATTGGGTCAGGCACTGGGAGGTTCATGTCCGAATGGATCTGAGTGAGATCGTGAATATTCAGGATAGGTTCCTGGAAAAATAAAGCAGATTCGTTATTTAATTATGAACTAACAAGTTCTCTCACACCAAACACAACGAGCAGACAAAAGATTCAGACCTCCCTCTTATCCAGCCATAAAATAAGGATGAAAGACAAAAAAAAAAGCTTAACAATAGGGTTGTGATGAGCCCTCCCTCCACCCAAGAAGAGAGTGCCAGCTCCAGGCTGGGATCAAAGCTATCGACGCTAGAGGCCCTACGAGACCACAGCATCACCAAGGACAGCCCCGAGTCACCGAATGCCTAAGAAAGATAAATGTGGAGAGCACACAAAGAAAACTGCAAAAGCAAGCACCCCCTCTAGAGCTAACAGCACTCAAATGCACACAAGCAAGGAGTCCCTGCTTCAGGCCTCTGGAACAAGGTGAAATCCACCAAGAAAATACACAGGCCGCGACCTGCTGCGTTGCTTTCAACACGGAGCTTGGAAAGGAAAAAGGATAGAGAGGACAGGGAACACCTCACCTTGAGGAACCCATCGAGCTCCAGCAGCTTCTTTGGGAAAAAGTTTGCCACCAGGTCTTCAGCCTGAGAGGGAAAGAAGAGATGAGGAGGTGAAACACGCTGCGAGGTTCCTGCCAGCAAGGAAAGAACATCGGGGAGAGCAACCACACCGGGGCAGGAAGCAGGAGAGCACACGCTCTTGATGCCGAATTTTGGGGCAAATTTGGCATCACTCTGCCCCCTCCAACCCTCCGGCCGAGCCGAGGGGAGACGGCACCGGGGGAGCCGTGGGGCTGCCCAACACCCCCCGAGGCTCTGAGCATGGCTGAGCCCCCCGGAGAGGCCCGAACCCCGCTCAGGTCTGTCAGAGGGACCCGGTTGAACGGTGGCTCCTGCCCCGGGGCAGCGGGAGAGGGAGACTCACCTCGCTCGTGATCCGCTCCCTGAAGGAATCAACCTGCAGAGGGACAAAAGACACCGGTCAGAGCCGCCCTCCCCTCACAGCGCCGGGCTCGGCACAAACCGGCACCGCGCCGCGCGGGCTCCGCCTCATCTCCGGGCCTGGCGTGAGGCCCCCGGCAGCGGGAGGTTCCCGCGAGCCGCGACCGGTAGCCGAGCCCGGGAGCAGCCCTCAGCCCAGGCTCCGGAGGCCTCTCCGGAGGCACCGCACACCGAGCGGCTCCCACCCGGGGCGGGGAGGAAGGGCCGCCGCGCTCGGCCCCGCGGCCACCATCCACCGGGGAACGGCCCGGGGGCGGCCCCATCCCCGCTCCCCCCGGGGAGCCGCGGGGTGCGGGGGCGGCGGGAGGGGCAGAAGCGGGCGGGCGGGCCGCGCAGACCAACAGCCGGGGCGGAAGGGCCGTTCGGCGGAGCACGGGGCTCGGTGGGGCGGCGGAGGGGGCGGGAGCGCACCTTGAGCTTCACCTCGGGGTCCACCTTGAGCAACGAGGCCATGGCGGCGGCAGCGGCGGTGGCGGGCGCGTCCGGGCGGGCTCTAGCGCGGGGCCGCGCTGCCGCTGCCCCACCACCGGCGTCGCCGCCACCGGAACTGACCTCACGCCGCGCGCCCCGCCAATGCGCGCGCGCGCCCGCCGCCCGCGTGACCGTCGCCGCCGGGTCCTGGCCGCTCCAAGGCGGCTCGGCGTAAGGGCGGGGCG